TCCTGTTCTACGGTAATCAGATTGATGCTGAAACACTAAGGAATTATTTGTCTGCATTTAGGGATGGTGTTTGATGGGAAAATACAGTGAAATTAATGTGTTTATATTGGTTACCGAAAACGGTCACTGGGTGCCGAAGTCGTCATTTACCGTATATTCGGAGTGGTTTGAGATTTGGGCGTAATTGCTTTTGATAATAAACGCTTCAATTGGCGATTTCTCGCGAGTAAAAGCTCAGCCTAGAAAACTAAAAACACACACAGGTTGAGGAATAATTCATCTAGTATTTGGCATAATTTGATCCCGAGATTTAGCTTTTATTCGCGAGAAATCAGCGATTGTTGTATTTGTGTACAAAAGCAGTTACGCCCATATCTTGAAGTTTGTTCTCCGGATATGAACTCTCATATAAGGTGCAATACACAAATTACGAAACACAAAAATACGGATTTTCGACCCCTCACCCCTAAAGGGTGTCCCAAAAAACGCTGTAGTAAATTACCTAAATGACCGATCCTTTTCAAACTTTCAGACAGTAAAATATGACCAATTAGTAAGCTTTTGGCATATTTATTTCATTCAAATTCAATACCGTAACACTACGCTCACACCTTACGCTTAACTCCACTCATAAGGTTATGAACAACATCTTGCTGCAGCTTCTTCTGTACAGAAACCTTCTTCATGTCTTCCTCAGATTTGACCTCCTTGGGATGCTTCCGTTGTGCCTGCTTCATAATGGCCCAGTATTTTTCGATGGGCCTTAGTTCCGGTGAGTTAAGGGAGTTCATGTCCTTAGGTACTAAAGTGACCCCGTTGGCTTCGTACCACTCCAGAACAACATTTGAATAGTGGCACGAAGCTAGATCCGGCCAGAAGATCGTAGGCCCCTCGTGTTGCTTCAACAGAGGAAGCAGGTGCTTCTGTGGACACTCCTTGAGGTAGATCTCTCCGTTTACAGTCCCGGTAGTTACAAACGGCGTACTCCGTTTGACACATGAGCAGATCGCTTGCCAAATCATGTATTTCTTGACAAACTGCTTCCTTACTTCCTCCGGAACATCAAACTTGTGCTGGGCGGTGAAGAACAGTAGCTCCGGAAGCTGCCGGAAGTCCACCTTGAGGTAAGCCTTATCATCCATGATGAGACAATGAGGCTTCGTCAGCATCTGAGTGTACAGTTTCAGGGCCGTTACTTTCCCACCGTATTTTGCCGTTCGTCCCGATTTGGAGACTTCTGCACTTCGTACGTATGCAGTCGCTCCCGGTCATTGAGTCTCTGAACGAAAGACTTGGACAGATTCAACTTTTTGGCCACATCCTTGACCGACGCATTGGGATTCCGCTGAAACGCTTTCACGACACGCTTGTGATCCTGCTCACTAATAGAACATTCTTTCTGACCACATGTCTCCTTCCGTTCGATGCTCAGAGTTTCGTAGTAACGTTTAATCACACGACTCACCGTTGACTGCACGATTTCGAATTGTTTTCCGATGTCCCGATGAGAGAGTTGGGGATTTTCCGGGTGCTTGCGCTACATCAATTCGTGACCTTGCTTTTCGGATGACGCCATTTTTTCCAACTTTCGAAAAACTGACAGCGATAAAAATACAGTGTAAACAATACACTCTAAACTAGTTTTACTCATTTTTCAAGAAAAATAACCAATGGGTAATTTTTCCCAGCGTTTTTTTTTCCCGTGATGCTATTTGATATAGGACACCCTTTATGTAACAATAAGTAACGCTTAATAAGACTCCGCCCCAAGGGCGTAGCCAGGTTTCGAGCTAGGGAGGGGCGAAAAAAAAATTACCATGGAAAATTTGGCCGAATGCCATTTCACCGAACGCCATTCCCTCGAAAGCCTTTGTGTTGCCGAGTTTAGGGGGGAGCAGTCGCCCCCCCCCCTGCCCCTATCTGGCTACGCCTATGCTCCGCCCTCTGAAATTACGAAACGCAAGCATTCTCAACCCCCGTTTTTGATTTTTCATTGGTTATTCTGTTACATAACATTTAGCATTAACCTCCCTTCCCCTAACAATAAGTAACGCAAGCTCGATCCCCCTCCTCCCCCTTCATGCGTTACGTGATTTGTGCACAAAGCCTAATGAGTATAGACCATTTTGCGAAATGGTAGGAGCTGATTTGCCTGACAGAATTTGATGATGTTCATTAGACTGATGCAAAATTTGACTTTTTCGCTCCACAGTGCTTAAATGGTTTCAAATCGGGTCGTGATTACCCTCCAAAAGTTACAACTCATTTGGTTAGAAACAGACTTCGCACAAACCATTTGAAGTTTTCATGTAAATTACTATGGGAAATCTCAAATTTTTGTTCATTGCCTTCTAGTCTTTTTCCATACTGAGCTGCGAAACAGTTCGATAGCCATTCTTATAGAAAATTTTCTCAGCTACAACTTTGCTGAAGATCGTTTCTATGTAAAACGAGACAGAAAATAGTTATTAATTATTTAAGAGATTGGTAAACTTATGACATGATCAAGCAGCTGCTCTGTAGGCAACACTGTATTTTGCAGTGTGACATAGTAGCCATAATTTTGGTGTCCTATTCAACGCCCCAGAAACACCAATGTTGCCTGCTGAGCAGTTGATTGAGCATGATCATAAGACATCAGTGCATTGAACCATTAATAACTTTCGATCCTTGCATCTTTGCAAAAAGTAGTCTTTGGCAAAGTTGTAGCTGGGAAAATTTCCTACAAGTAAAATTGAAAGCTTTTGAAGCAGACCGATATGGTGAATTATTAGATAGACATGAACAAAAATCTTGGTTTTACCATAGTAATTCCCATACAAACTTCAAATGGTTTGTGCCATTTCAGTTTCTCACCAAATGGGTTCAAATTTTGAGAGGTTAGTCAGGATCCGATTTGGAATCGTTTAAGTATTGTGGAGCGAAAATTTCAAATTTTGCATCACTCTAATGTTCATGTTCCTTCTCACAGCCTGTCAAATTTATTCATGAGTTGAATCTGAAACGTCTCGTAAAGTACTCTATTAAGTCAAGATTTGATAATAGTTAACAACTCTACTCGACTGATGGCTTCTGTGATACTAAATAAAACATTGATGGACAGCATGTCCAGTAACGAGTATATGAGAATAAACTGTATTTTCTTTATTATTGTTATTAGCTTATATGCTAGGCTAGGCTTAAGCTACAGATGTTTGGGGGCGACCCCGCCGTTGTGTTTAGAATCCATACCTATCACGCCAAAGTTACGAGTTCAAATCTCACCCCCAGACGAGTCAAGAATGACCCAAGAGTGTTAGAATTAGTATAATAAAAAAATATAAAGATATGCTGCGTGTTTTTATTATGGGTAAGTCCAAAGAAAGGTTTCCTGATTTGCATAAAACATGTTGTTTTTGAAGTGAAACTGGAAAAACCTGAAGTGTAGCTATGAAAAATATGTTATTTCTTGTGAATTCTATTACATGATGATTTGGAAAAACTTTGAAGGTTGTATACTACAATAGTCGTTAAAAAATAACATTATACTGGTCCAAAACTTATCATAGAGAAAATGAGAGATATTTATAATTTTGAAATGTTTCTGATACAAGTAACCGAAGTTTATATTCTAATATCATATTTTTAAGTTACTTAGTATTAGAAAAGTACAAAGTCAATTCTCGATTACCTTTTCAAAGGGAAGTATCAGCTTTACTTTACTACTTTACTACGCTTACTAACACCACTAACAGGTAGGGGAAAATTTCTCCTATCTGATAGTAGTGTTAGCATGTGTGGGCGAGCTACCAGTTACGGCAAATCGACGATCAAATGCATTGTTTACAAAAGCTGATACGTCCCTTTGAAAAAGTAATCGAGAATTATGTTTTGTTATCTATATAGTCGGAGAAAGAAATACGGTATGAATCCTTCCCAGACTACTCACACTCCATCGACAGTCCCTCCTTCAGGCGCTACATTTACACGTTTCGGACCCATGATACTTTGTTTTTTGCATTCCGGACATTCACAGCTTGGAAAACACGCACGTAAACAAAATTTACTCATCCATGAAATATAATAAACACACCCGGCAAGTTAAAGCCTCCAGCGCCACAAAACACGTGGGGGAAACAAAAGCCGGTTCAGATTTGCCTCTCGACAGGGTTGCTTCCACTCACTGCGCTATGCAAAAATGTTTTTGTTTCGAAATTATCAAATCTTTTGATATTATAATGATTTTTGTACCTGTAAGTTACAAGAAGACATTCCAATGGATCACATCATTCGAGCAGTTTAAAATGACGTTACCGCTCGAACTTTGCCGTGGATCATTATTGAGACAATATTTCTTCTAGAACCTCGGGGAAATAAAGTCTTATTTAGGCTAAGCTTGAAAAATATAGAAAATAATGCTCCATTTTTGTCCGAAAACTGCCCGACAATACGATTAATTTTGCTATCAGAAAGTCACAATCCGCGATTTTATAATTCGTGGGTGCTCACTCTGAATGACCGCTCATGAATCGTATATTCGCTTATTTTGACTCTCCGAATGCGAAACTGACGGGTTGTACGTATCAAATACATACTTAACAACCTCTTCTTGTAACTTACAAGTACAACATAAAATTTTAACATCAAATGACTTTATTATTTCGAAAAACATTTTTTAGAGTGAAGTGAGTGGAAGACACCCTGCTCACAACCATCGTCTACCTTCCAACAAAAATGGTGCTCTTCTGTTTCTCCCCTGTACAACCATACAAACAAACTTTCACCACGGTAACCAACCCGCAAAGCATCCGCACCCAACCCATCATCGTCGTCGTCATCGTCACAATTTCATACGCAGTCCCATATTCAGCAGCCGCGCCGCGTAGAGATTTTCCCCCGTCATAATCATGAGAGGATAATCATCGTTTTTCATCTCGCTGCTTTCCACCTTCTCCGATCCGTCATGTTGTTGTCGTTGTTCATGATATTGTTATTTACCCCTGTGGCATGTTTATTTTTAGGGTTTCGGAGCACACCGTCCCCGTCGCCGTACGCAACGGCCCTACTCCCGCTGAATCACGCTCACAGCCATCAGAACGGACTGCCCACGACGGAGTCGGTCTACGCCAAGCCGGAATCGGTCTGTCCATCCCGGGTGTCCTATTACGCTTCATCGCAACTAACTCAGGTGAGTATCGTGCACTGTGTGCCGCTGGTTTTTTTTATGGTGCGCCGGTCTATTCAAGTTCTACCGGCAGAGTACATAAATCCCGCGATAAACGCGGTAGGAAATATGTTCCACCCACCGCTATTATTCGACTGCTTTCCAGCCAATCTAGCTGATTATTTGTAAGTGATTAGTCTAGGGTTGCACTAATCACATTCAAAAAATCGAATTGAATGGTTGGAAAGCAATCGAATAACAGGAGTGGGTAGCATTTATTTTCTACCGCGTATATTGGAGGATTTCTGTGGATGTTTTTTTTTTTTTTGGTGTGTAGCGTTATGTCCGGACATGGACACAATTGTGTTGGATGCGCTGGTTTTTCATTAAATCGTTTCTGTGCTGCTGCAGCAGCTGACACATCCGTTTTTATGGGGACAGAAAACAAGGTGCATTGTAAACCAACGGCTGCCGGTATGTTCTTGGTAACAGATGGACGTACTCAATTGAGAATTCGGGGTAGATTTACAAGCATGCATTGCTGCTAATTTTCAAATTCAAGTGAAACTATTTTATTTTTATATTTATTTATTTATTCATTTATTGTAATTCATCTGACAGTAGTTGTCTTAATGAATAAAACTTAGATATAACACAAAAAAGCAACAGATAAACAGATTACAAAAATAATCACAATCTTCTCAATCGGTTTCGAAATTGGTTCGATGTTTCTCCGAATTCAAATGTTTCTTCCACAGCGGAGAATGTCCGAATCTTCGCAGACATTGGCTCATGGTATCCATATGCAGTCCGATGGAATCTTGGTTGAAGTAAGGATGATTGCCGCAACATCCTTTGAGGAACACGGAAGGTTAATTGTGAAAGCAGTTGAGGGCAGTCCACATCGCCATTTAAAAGTTTCGCTACAAATAAGGCTTGTTGCATTTTTCTTCTGTGTTCCAATGTGTCCAGGTTCAATAACATGCATCGGTCTGCATAAGGTGGTAAATTCATTGGATCGCGCCATGGCAGGCTGCTCAAAGCCAACCTCAAAATTCTTTTCTGAACACGTCCTATTCGGAGATTCCACACTAGCTCATATGACGCACAGATGCATTCTCAAGTATGGGCCAAATTAAAGAGCAATATAATGCCTTCAAGCAGTGAGGGTCTTTGAAATCTCGTGCAATCTTAGAATAGTGAAGATTGAAGGTCAACTTTGGATCTAAAAGGACACCAAGAGCAGTCATACGTTCTACTCTGCGAAGCGTTACATTGTCAATGCAGTAGTCGTAAAGGATTGAACTCTTAGAGTGGTGAAACGTCATCACTGCACACTTTGGAACGCTGATGATGAGCTTATTGCGACGGCACCAATCCACAAACAAATCTAGCAGAGCTCGAAGACGATGACAATCCTCAATCGAGTGAACTATGACGTATATCATCTGCATAAACTCGCAGCTTGCATTTAACTCCCAACAAAGCTGCTACATCGTTGAAGAATAATGTAAACAAAAGTGCACCCAGTTTACTTCCCTGAGATACTCCAGAGGTGCTGGTAAACGTAGAAGAGACACAAGATCCTAGTCGTACTCGAAAAGTTCGTCCAGTCAAGTAGGAATGTAATGCAAAAATGACAGAAGCAGCAAAAGCTCTCAATTAATAACTGTGGAACTGAGAACTGACAATAAGCTGATATGCGATAAGTAATAATCAAGAAATGTCAAGCAGAGAAAACGTTTTAATTAGAAGCAAGTTTTCCCATGCTATTGGTTTTATGATTCGAAAACGTAAATTTCAGCGAATAATACATATTCTCAAGCATCAACTTCTTCACCCTGTTATACGATGCAATTGAAGATTAGTAAGTCTCAAATTCCAACAGACACATAACGGCAACGAATTAATTTCAAACAAGCAAAACATCAAATCCACTTATCATTCCACAACACTCGCCAGTCACCCTCTTTCAAATTGAACCATTCTTCCAAATTTAAAATCGTTCGGAGAAATGATTGGATCCAGCTAAGGATATTTGTCTAAATAAAGGAGAAATCAAACATTGAAACCCCTTCCCCCTTCCGCCCGACCACACAAACGGGAAATAAATTGCGTTAAACCCCCTATTTGCTCTACATCGGCACACCCTCCTCTCAGAGGAAATCAGCTCAGCTGAGTATGTAGTCAATAAACGTGGGGGTTTGTGAATGTGAATGTGAATGTGGCTAACCACGTGCTGAGAAAAAGCTGTTTGATCTGCCTTCTGCACGCGCCAGCTTCAGTTTCAGAACAAAACGTTCCCTTCTTGACAGTCGCTTGCCTTCGTGAAACAATGCCCTGCTGACGACGACGACGACGACGACGACGACGCCAGAAAAAGGGGTGAACGTTTGATCCCAACACTAATAATGGGTTTGAATAACAAATATCGAGGCAGCTACATTTTTATCAGACACTCTCGATTTTCAGATCCCGGGAACTCCAACGGTGAAGGTATTCAATCGTGGAATTGCTTTGGAGTGATGGTTATAGAATTTGCTTTTATTTTTGTGGCAACCTATCAGCTACAGATTTTCCTTTGAAATTGCGCCCCACTTGCTGCATGGGGGGGGGGGCGAGGGGGGGGCTAGCAGTAACTTGAGACATGATTTTGCCATCAATTTCCTTAGACAGCTAGGCTTTACTACTGACGGAAAAGTGTTTTTGCTGATGCAGTCAGTGGAGGGAAATTGGTGGATCAATACTTTTTGGCGCCAGGCTGGTTTTGGCATGTAGAGCTTAATCTTGATGAGGGCAGAAATCTTGCAGTCAGTTTTTATTAGATGTCAAATCAGTTATGTGGGGAATTTTTTGTGCACAGAAATACAGAAGACTCATTCTACCAGGATGTATCAATGTTTTTGCCTGATTTTTCAACAGTTTTCATCACTAAGGAAATGAAAAGTAAACCTCAAATATGATTGCAAGTTTCGGAAAATGCTTAAAACTCCTTATAAGAATTGAACAACAGTTTATAATTTGAGTGGCTGAAAATGATTTGGTGAAAAAGTACGATTCGTGACGAAAGAGTGAGGCCGTTCGGGAAAAAAGACGGTCAAAAGTCTTTTCTCATCTTCATTGACGTTTCTGAGGGTAGGTTTCTTTGGTGAATTTGTTTGGAATGGTGATCCACTTCTTTTGAAATATACACTGATGTTGTATTAAGAGGGTATTACTCTTAGAAAATCGAACATTTTACGTAATTGAGACCGACGTACTACGTGTTCAGCGAAGTTGTGAAACTAGATATTTTAAGAAACTTTGTTAAAGACACAATTAGATATAGCGGATTTTCTCTTCAGACTTCCTTAAAACTGGTTTTCGAGTTTTTTAATTTTTTATCAATACCGTATTGTTCCAGAAAGATTAAGATATTATCAAAATCAATTACTTTTATGAAGACACCAACAACTTTTATCGGCTTCATTTTAATGTACCTTTATTTCAAAGCCAAAATACACCAATTTTCTAAAATAAATTTTACAAAAATGTGCATGTTTGTTCAACAACACTCACCGTCATAAAATATGTCATGGTTTTATGTGTAAGTATTTAAAAAAATAGTATCAGGAACAGTCGGGTACATAATTTTTGAAGCTACTTTATACAGCACCATTTGTGCAATATTCTACATAATTATCATGATTATCGTGAAATGAAAATCTGCTTTCAAATTAAGTTGGAATTTTGTAAGATAACTGCAAAAATGAGAAAAACGCTGTAGCAAGATTTTGCGCAGATCTAGATAAGCGATGGTTCAGGGCCAAACGCACGCTCAGCCGCTTTGTAGTTGCAAACTCAGATTGGCTGAAGGGAAACGTTTTTTTTTTTTTTTTCAAATATTTCACACGAAACTGCCAAAGGACGACCAAAAAAATTGTTCACTGAACTGAATAGACCGAACAAGAGACGCAGGGTAAAAGTTCTGACAGATTCTGGAACAAGCGAGGAACTGGCTTACGCTACGGAAATAAAGACACGTGCTGATGGATCGGCGGATGCGGCTAAATGAGTACATGAAGCATTGCAGACAACTCACTCGAGCAAAGAAAATTCGACAGACTTGGAAGTCACACAATGATTCCAGAAGCGAGCGATCTATGACTGAAAATGAAGGTCAGTCGTTATTTATCAATGGAGACTTTTCCAAGGACCAATGGACACTACTGCGTAACAAAACAAGGCAATGTTACTCAGAATTACCCTTCGTATAAAAGATTGATGAAGGCTCGCAAAAGATGTCTTCCAGATAATATAACGGTGTCAGAGATATCTGCTGAAACTCAACTTCAACTTTTGTTTAACCATACCGCCAAACGCACTATTGTAAAGCGGTCTTTGGAATCTGGATGACAAACAAGGACCGAAAATCGATGTCTGTCACCATTTTGAAATTCAAGATGGTGGATTCCGGTTTCAGAAAAACTCGGAAATTCTGTCGAATATCCCACAATATGGAATCGGAGTGACGTATAGGGATTGAAAATTCATGTCTGTCACCAATACCGTCAAATACCACACAATATGCGTAGTTTTGAAAACGGGGCGACGTGTAAGGACCGGAAAACCATGTCTGACTCCATTTTGCAATCCAAGATGGCGGCATCCGGTTAGAGAAAAACTGGGAAATACTATCAAATACCTCACAATATGGGTATTTTTGGAATCGAGGTATCTTGTAGGGACCGGAAACCGATGTCTGACACCATTTTGAAATTCAAGATGGCGGCTTACGGTTTCAGAAAAACTTGAAAATTGATTTCTTGCAAATGATTTGTTCTAGACATTTCTAGATCTTCTAGAACAAGCTGCTATCTCTTTCTGTTGGAAAGCTATGAACAATTTTTGCTTATAAGTACCGTAAAACGGGGTAACATTGATAGTTTTTTAAAGTATATTCTAAATATTTTTTACAACAATAAATGTTTTTCAAATTTTATATTTTTAAAACAAGTACTGAGGATTGAAGAGTTATTTTTTCT